TGATTCAACAAATACTATTTTGGGTGTGATTCATGGGATAGTTTAGGATCCAACAATTTCTAAAAGATTGAGTACTAAGAATAAGAAGGGAAAATGAAAGTGAAGCAAATAAATTCATAAATGAATTGGATTAGGGTAGAACAATAAAAATTGAAAACTAAACTGTTATATTTAATTTTAACAATTTATTATATTTAATGCTAATAATAGTATTCATTTTATTTATATAAGTAACACAATATATCTGTTGAAGCCATATTCGTCTTGTACACCATGCCTAAGACAGAGAGCATGAGATTCGAGGAAAAGAGAAGGAAAAAGAGGTTTGGCTCGCGAGGGGGTGAAGAGGAGTGTTCCCGGGCTTTATGGCGCCTTTCATTCCACCGAACTTAGAGATTACAAGAGAGCAAAAGGGAAGAGAGTTCTCCCTACATGTGAGAGAGGAGAGACCAAGAGAGCGAGAGAGACCCTTTATACGTTACAAGTTCTTCTATTTATAGAAAAATAAAAGAGAGAAAATGATATTACAAAAGTGACGTTGCTTTAAGGAGGGTTGTAGACGGTATTTTAGTCTTTTCATTACTTAGATCTATCGTTCTGGAGCATTCCATTCAACGGGGTTTGTCGGTTTCGGGCTGTCGGCCAACCATTAGGGGTAGTTGGCCAAGGTGATTGGCTAACTGGATGTTGGTGGTCGGCCGGCTGGATTCTATTGGCCGACTGACTAAATTTCGGTGACCTGCCGGTTGGTGATGTTCGTTGACCCAAGGTGACTGGTCGATCGGATGTGATGGCAGGCCCAAGTTGGTCGGCCAAGAGTGGTTGGGCAGAGAGCGCGAGATTCTTGGATGACTTTGTTGACGGTTTATTTTGGTCTGGTGAGGACTTGGTCATTTTTCTATCATACAATATCTATTTAATAGTATTATTACAATGCTAGTTATAATTATAAATGTGAGTGCTCGTGTATTGTATAGTTTAGCATGCTCTTTTTTTACATGATTGTGAATTTTATTTTATCTTTTCTATCTCATTAAAGCTTTAAACACATCAAAGCCTGCAACTTTAGATTCCGAAAAGCGTTATCTAGTTTTTTATGTTTAGAAGGTCAATCAATATGAAGTAAATTAAACTTTTAGCACGCATGATTATATTAGAAGCTTGTTTAGGAATTCTAAACTTTATTAAGTTGTGATATTAGAAGCTTGTTTAGGAATTCTAAACTTTATTCTGCTTGTTCTCTACATGTGAATATTATATTTTGGAGAATTTACATACAAGGCACCCGATTCTTATGCATTTACACCAAAACTCTCATTTTTTTTACAAATTTAGCACTGAATTCACACTTCTCAGGAGCGTCGAAGAGCGAAATACACATTATCATGCATAGGTAAGGTACTGCCTTTGTAAAAATCTAAGTTTTAGTTTTTGCTACGTAAATGCATAAGATTTGGGTTATACAAATGTAAATTTCCGTTATATTTTACATGAATATTTCAGGTGTTGAAATGAGCCGTATAATTTGCAACGATTTAAAAAAGTTAATTTTTTTTATTTATTAGAAGCTAATAAATAAAAATTAGAATGAATGTTCCTGAAAATGGAATCCGAATGAATTATCATCCTGAGTCACAGCAATGTTGAACTAGAGAATGGTTTGTTCATTTAAGTAGAAGCATAAATACCAATACACTTAATAATTATGCATCTAGACATATAATGCCCGAACACTC